ATGCACTTGCTTTTATGGGGCTGCGTGTGAAAATTCCAGGCCCAGGAAAGTTCTGTGCCGGGGCATCGCAGGGTTGGTGGTCCTCCCGCTAATGAGAGGAAAACCCTCCATAGTTTCGACCACCCCTGTTGGAACCGAGCCCAGCTCTGCATTTCATGCACAGCTCTCCTCAAGCTCCTAACGATGTTTCTGGGTTTCAAGTTTTGCAGGGAGTCCTTTCAGAGCTGCCTCATCGAGCCCTGTCCATGCAGGTTTTTCAAAGCATTCTGAATAGCAAATGAGCATTATGGATCATCCAATGAAGCTCTTCCATGGAACATGCAATGCTGTAGCTGTTGTTCAAAAAATGCAACACATTTGCAAGTATTTCTACACTTTTGCTTCCTGATGGATATTCCTGAATTCCTCCAGAGCACTGGAGGTATACCGGCTTCCCCTCCCTCCCTCCCGCTACATACATACATACACGCAATCCCGGCTACAGTTCATACTCTACAGTTCTAATACAGCTATGCTTGGAAATAACACCACAGAATTCGTTACACAGAGAGTCAAAGGCATTCAGGCACAAGCCATAGAGAAAACATCATATACAATACACTACAATTGCATTCAGTTCAGTAGTCAAGCCAATAATGATCGCTGCCTAGTTATCATACATCTTTTCCCAAAACTGCCTTGTCTTTTAGATATGTTATTCTACCCCTGGCATTCTGGCCAACAATTTTGTCTGTATCTTTCTCAACTACTTCCCAAACAAGGGGTTACATTCCAAAAATCTCACACACGGGAAATAAACATGGAAAAGAAATGATTTGGGGCCGACTTTCTCAAACATTTCCATAGCAACCGGGGCCCTGGAATGTTGTCCTCGCAAGACTTGCCAGAAGGCGTTCCCTAATGTTGGTGCCATTTCAAGAACTAATTGGCTATTTTACTCCAAAAGGCAATTAAACATGCTTCTCTTCTCTCTGACCATCATACTTTTACAGGAAAAATCCTATACATATTGCGGCAGAAAAAAGCCAACCCCTTTTCTTGCCTGATATACATAGCATCGCCCCCCTAAGAAGCTGACCTCAGTCAGGGAGGAAGCAAGACACACCAAAGTCAAGTTAAGCTGTGTCTGCAGGTTGTGAACCTGGAACATCTGGCAATCTCTGAAAAATCGCATTCTCACAACTCACCAAAGGATTCCCTAAATTTCAGTTACGCCGACTGCTTTGTGCAGAGGCTGGCTGTTCACACACCGTCAGTCAGGACAAAAGAGGACAATTTGGCATAGAATTTGCACGGGAGAATTACATTTAGAAATAACGGCTGAGACTGAGACGGAAATGCAGTGCCTCTCACCAAAGTGAGAATGGTGACCCTGGACTTGAGTTGCCTGCCAAATTTGCTGTCCAGGTGCTAACTGTGGATAGGCAATTTCAAAGCCAGAAATCTCTCTTTTTATGGTCCAGGTTTGAACTGGACACTGTTAAAAAAGCGATGGTTTTAAATGATTTTCGCTACTGTCCCTACATTTCTACCCCATTTTAATTTCCCTTGCAAGGAACCCAAGGAACCCAACACTCCTCCAATGCAGAGGAATGTCAAATAGAGGACTGCCCCCGGCAAAGCAGGATGCATGGCCACCCGACCGCTGTCGCTCCTGGTGGCCTTCCTATGGCATGTTAAGGAATCTGCCTGGGGCCAGCTGTGTTCCGGAGGTCCCTACACTGGTTGGTATTACGGACAGAACGGAGGTCATGCGTGTGATGCGGAACGGTAGTCCGGCCAGGAACACACATTTGCAAGGCTCTTGGGCCTCTTCCGCACGCCTCCCCTGTCTGCAGATCGCTCGGGCAGCGTACATGGAGCGGCCCTGCGCCACGTCGGCTTCAGGCATGGGGAGAACCAGTCTCCTGTTACAGCGACGCAAGGGGATTCTGAGAGTGCAATTCAGCATGCGATCCGAGGCAGGTTCAGGCTGAGAAAGTCCCAGGACTGCAGCCAGGGTCACGCTGGGACTTTCTCCGGTTTAAACCTGCATCGGACTGTGCCCTTAGACTCTGAAGGCAAAAACGATCAGCCATCTTTGATGCTGCAATCCACAAGGTTTCTGTGTTTCTAATCGACATTTTAATGCTGTGGCTCTGAAATTCTGTGCTCTGCAGACCCGACAGCTAAAGAACATTATTTTCTGGGGGAACCCTGAAAGCGGCCTTGAAAATTGGGCATTCCAAAGGTCCGGCAATCAGGAGACTGCCAGTTTTCAGAGTGATTAAGGCTGAAATAGGGCGTCTTTCAGGAAATGCTGCACGGCTGCTCAGCGTGGTTACCTGCCGCACCTGGTGGGCCACCTCTTCCCTTCTGTGGGCTTAGTGGAACTTGGTTCTTGCCATGCTGTTTCCCACTCCAGTTCCACATCATTGGCTGCCTATGGTATGGGGGGGGTAGAGAAATGTGGACCCCCCATCAGCTCAGAGGCTGACTTCCACAGAGAAACTCCTGTAGGACACATTCTAGTTCCAGGTGGAGCCCAAGTCAGAAGAGGAGGACCCAAAGCAAAAGGGGAGGAGTCGAAACACCAAAGGTACCAGCATATTTTATCTTAAAGCTTTTCTTGCAAGTAACTTTAGGCTTCTTAACCTTTTAGAATATGGCACAAAAAAAATCCCACGCAAAAGCTGGGAAATCATCAAACAGCAGGTGTGGGAACAGCCAAGGGAAGGGGTGACTTTTGGGGCACCCCTGGAGAGTTGGATCTGGCCAAGGTCAGACAGCCCATGCGAGGTCAAAACGTTTGGAGCGAATGCTTGCCCACCTCTGGGTGTGCCGGCTCTCCTAAAGACCTCTGCGCACCAAGCATGAAAGCACACGGCCAACCCGAGGCAAGACCTCCACCCCTCACGAGCCCAAGTGTCGCTTTGGCACCATGTGGGGCTCCAAACTCGGACATCCTTCACAAGGCGCAGTTCTCCGAACGCAGCAATGCGTCTCTCACTCCATGGGTGGCACCCAATGCTAGAGCAGCCCCACTGGAAGGACTGAGGAAAGACAGGCCAACACTGGGTGTGACCCCTAGAGTGCAAGCACACGTGCTCATCGTAGGGAAGAGTGCGCGTCAGAGATTGCCCGTTTGCAAAAGGATGTTGAAATGCGTCCCACTGGGAAAAAGTCTTGAAACAGATCGCCCGAGCGGGATGTTTCTAAGCACGGCACATCTTTAATCCACGCTCGAGAATACTGCCTTATCCAGATTCTTGATCGTGAGACGATTTGGAACCTTCCAGTCCAAAGATGGTTCAAAGTGAACTCCAGATTTTCCTGCTCTGTGCACAGAGATCTCTAGAGGAGCCAGGCATGCGGAGACGCGGGGGGTATGGGCTTGTCTACCTGCTCTTGCCGCAGCAGATGGTTAGTCCTCACACGTGTGCAGTCATTGGCTGCATTCACACAACACAAGCAACTCCATGGGGTGACCAAAGTTCACATTTCTGACCACAATCGACACAACAGACCATGGCTTTGTCCTGGTTTCCATTCTCTCCACTCAGTTCTCCCACGGTTGGCATATGCCTGCCATTCAGTCTCAACGTCTGTTTGGATCTTGGGTTCAGACAACATAGTAAGCCCTGGTGGGGTTTTGTACTATCGCTACCAATCATGGGTGTTTCACCTTGGTAAGTTTGGTCTTCTATGGTTTCTCCATACCACCATAGCTTGTCATGTGGTCTGAGCCCAGGACCATGGTTTTAGTGATCCTGGTATGGAGTCCCCTGGAAAGAGTGGCAGTCACTGCAGCCTCCCTCCCTGCATAGACCAATGGGAAAGAAATGGGTGATATCGGCAGGGAGCAATGCCTCTTGGGACTGAATTTTAGGTGCGGTGGCTGAGGGGACACACGCCAGCAGTGGGAGGCCTGAGCGAGACGGTGGAATCCACGATGGGAACCCCTTGATCCTCTGTCGGGTAGAGCATGGTAAAAAACCACGAGCCACGGCAACCACAGAGAGGGACTAATTGTGTTGTGTGAACCCAAGTCCCCCAGGCATTACGAAGGAGGAGTGGGGAGGGTTAGACCAAGGGCAGCCAGAAATCTTCTGTCCTGTCTCTTGGGCCCTCGGAGAGAAAGCAAGAGTGCAGACAGGGATCAGTTCTCAAAGCAATTCTCGAAAGGGCTGGTCCTGCCCCCTGCTTCCTTGGCTGCGCCTACTTACTTGTCTTCTTATTTAAGAGCACAGAGTGGAAATGTCCCTTGAATTGGACAGAAAAAGGAATCGGGGTTCTGAGGTCATGGGACTGGGAGCTTATCAAGTTAGATATTTAATATTTAAACAACACACCCCTTTAAGTGCCATGGGCATGAACGATTCTTCCTTAGAACTCTACAGGGCAAGACAGCCTTGACCAGCGTGATACTCTTTAGACATTTTGGACTACAACTCCCATCATCCCTAGCTAGGGAATGGGCGCCAGGTTGGGGACGTCTAAGGGAAGGCATAAGGAAGAGGCTACAGGCTGGAAGCAGGCATTTGTTTCAAGGGAGCCGAACACGGGTTCAAGAGAGATTTTGCCTTCCAGTGTGAATCCCCATTCGTGTTGGCTCATGGCTGCCTATGGTCCAACAGCCTTCACAGAGTTTTGAAGGGGCAGACGGCCCACCGCAGCCTGCTTCTCATGGGCAACATGGGAGGAAAGGCTCCTCTGTCCCCACCCTTTTCCTAAACCCCTAACGCACATGAACGGAAGCTTAGCTACAATCGCCACTACAATTCGCTGCACTTTCTCCGTCTCACATCCTTTCCTTGCCTCCCTGCTGACGCCCTGAATCGAGGCTTTCTAATCCTCCTTGGAAACCAAACATAAAGAGCTTCTAATACAATCAGAACACAAGCAGATTAGAAGCCTCTAATTAATTTTGTGGCCTTTATTTTAAAAAGGGAAGGAGAGAAAGAAGGAAAGAAAAAAAGCGAGGGAGGGAGAGAAGAGCAAGTAAGTGCATTGAAATTTACTCTTTCGCCTCGGCCAATTTATTGTTCATCTCTTTACTTTTCTCCTTCTCCTCGGCGTTCGCTGCACTCGAACCTTCGGCGCCCTTTTTCTTAGATGAGCGACTGGACGCTGTCTGCTTGTCTTTGGCCTTTTTCAGTGGTTTATGGCTTGTGGTCGTCTTTTTTGGTTTAGAAGGCTGAGGGCTAGGCTTCTCCACCTGGACGCAACCGACAAACCACCAACACAAAGGGAAGTAAGTACGTATGACACACAGGGAGAGGTGGGAGAAAAGGGATTGAGAGAAGAGTAGCCGAAGGGTGGTCAGCATTCATTTACAGTGCAGGATCAGGCATTCTGCTCTTTGTAAGCGATCCGTACAGGAAGCAGAAAGGGAGCTAAACCTTAAAAGCTTCCTTGTACGCTTTCCTTGTATGTATCTTCCTTGGGAACTTCCTCTGATTGTCAGGGAAGTCTTGCTCAGCTTCGGACCACTCCCCTGCCTAGGAGGCAGGGGTGTGGGTCCTAATTATTTTTGCAGTGCAAGGATCCCGCCCCACCAATATCTTAAGTTCATTAGGAGTGATGAATGCCAACTTCAATACTCTATTAGGAAAGTTTGCCAGTTTCAGAGTTGTAAGAGCCACGTATTATGCAACTCTTGGGTTGCTATCATTTTACTTTCAACTGTTTCCAGCTTCCACTTCAGTCAATGGTTTCCAATCCCTTTGCCCCCCTCCCCTGAATTTAAACAAAGTTAAGAACATGCTATTTAAGTATATGCATTCCACACTTGCATGTTACACTTTTACAATTATTTCAATAAAAGGTTGTACAAACTATAATGTTTCACTCATTAAATATGCTTTCATTTCACCCACATCCCTCAAATATCACAGCTATTTGATGGTATTTGATGATGGTCAAATTCTTGTGGTCTACTGGGTGGAAAGATATGAACATGGGCTACTTTATAAAGCTTTGTTGTTTACTAAATGCAAGTAAAATAAATTGAATTTGATCGCACTCTAGAGGGTCAGAAAAATTCCCAACACAACCTGCAAATTTCCTGATGCAAATTATCATAGTTCCCACAGGATAATTTTCCCACAGGAAAATTTTCCAATTCAACAATTTCCAGAAAATTTCAATCACTGAGCAGAACTTTTCAGTAGGTTTGCTTCCTAGTTGGTGGTGGATGAAGAGAGACACATAGGAAGGCCAAAAAAGGGAGGGAGAAAATGAACCCCAAATAATGCTGGTCCCATATGGACACTGCCCCATTTCTGTTCCTTGGAGTTCTGGTGGACAACGGGCTAAATATGAGCCAACAATGTGACGCAGCTGCAAAATTGCTATTTTGATATTACTTCCAATAGCAGTTCCCCTATTCTAGTCAGGCCTCATTTGAATACTGGGTCCAGTTCTAGGCACCAAGATTTAAGAAAGATGCAGAAAAAGTAGAAACGGTCCAGCGGAGGGCGACCAAAATGATCCAGGTTCGGAAACGCTGCCCTGTGAGGAGACTTGACAAATTAGGTATGTTCAGCCTTGAGAAGAGAAGTCCAAGGGGGGACATGAGATCCTTATATAAATACCTCAAAGGCTGCCACAAAGAGGAGGGTCAAGATCTCTTCTCACAGATACCAGAGTGCAGGACACGGAAGAATCAATTAAGTTCCAACAACCCAGATTCGGGCTAGACTCAAGAAAAGTTTCCTCGTGGTCAGAGCAAGACGGCAGTGGGACCAGCTGCCTGGAGAGGTGGGGGGCTCTCCCACACTGGGGGCATTCCAGGAGAAGCCGGACAGCCATCTGGGAGGGATGGTTTAACTGGGAGTCCTGCACTGAGCTGGGGGTTGAACCTGATGGCCTTCTGGCCCCTTCCAGCTCTACAATTCTATGACTGGAATGGGGTTGCATGTCCTGTTCTGTTGTAAGCCATGCTGAGAGCCTCTTGGGCTCTCCTAGAATCATTGGAAGGAACCACAGAGATTATCTAGTCCAACCTTCTGCTGAAGCAGGAGATGCATGGCCACACTCTTGAAAGACGGCCATCTAGCCACTGCTTTCCAGATCCTCTCCTGAAGGCCAGCCACCCTCTCCTGGAGCCACCTATTCCAGTGTGAAACAGCTCCAAGCAACAGGAAGTGTTTCCTAATGTTGAGCCAAAATCCCCTTTCCTTGTAATTTGAACCAACGGGGATCCTGCCCTCCGGAGGGCAGGGTACAAACTAGCTCACCATGCAAGGACCAGAAAGGGTGACCTGAGCAGCTTTCTTGCCACCCACACAAATAACCCACAGGAGACATGAAAAATGACACGGGTTCCAGCAAGAGCCAGAACATGCAATTCTGCTGCCGTGGGCCCATCCTGGGGTGCCCGCCTTGCCTTCACTCTTACCTTTGGAGGTTCCTTGTAGGGCTCGCTGTAGAGGCTGCGTACCCTTCTGTGCTCCAGGAACTTGTTATCCGACGGACCAGGCTTGGCAGATTCCGCAGTGAACTGGGTGTTGTAGCTGGTTTTGTGGGTCATCTTCTCCTCTGGAGGTTTATACTGAGACTTGGCCCTGATGGCTTTCACCGGCTTGATGTCTGTCCAGGGTCGAAATTCATTTCTGGGGAAAAAGAAGGATGAGTGAGAAGAGGAACTCCCCAAGGGAGGGGAACCTGGACTGCCTTCCCTTGCTAACCAGGAGGACATGCCCCGTCTTCCCAAGGTCAGCCAGGGACCTCTTGTCATTCTGGGCCACCAGGTCTTCCAAAGCTCAGGCAACATGGCCCAGAAGCATCAGGGCAGGCCATCAGGTCTCAGAAGAAAAGAAGATGTATAATAATTTACTAAGATGGTTTTCACCCAGGGAAGCTTTTGTATATCCAAATGCATTGAATTTTGAAGGGATTATAAGATATATTATCTTGATGGCATAAGGTGCAGATACAATCGAGATATGCTAAAGATGGCAAAGCGTTGGGTTTTTACAAGGAATTAACTGCGTTTGAGTAAGTGATGCTTAAATCAGATGAGAAAATGATTAAAAGATTATATGACTTCTTATTTTATAGATGGTATCTGTCACCAAATAGATTAGCTAAGATGTTTCCAAATATGTCAAATGGATGTTGGATATGTAAACATAAATTGGGTACTTTTTATTATATGTGGTGAATCTGCGATAATGTGAAAAGTATTGGATTTAAAATACATAAATGGCTCGAGGAAATGTTACAAAAATCCTTAGCTTTTAAACATGAAGTTTTTTTTTTTTATTAGGCATTATACCGGAGGACATTAGTAAGCAAGAAATGCATTTGATTTTGCATGTAATCACTGCAGTGAGGATTGCATTCGCTCAACACTGGAAAAGGGAAGAACCACCCACTGATGAACTGACTCTAAAAAAAAAGATCCTGGACTGTGCAGAAACGGATAGAATTTATCATGGAAGGTGAAGGAAGATACTGACTTCTATCAAACTTAGGAATCTTTTTATTATTGGCTAGAGAAATGGGACTTCGCATAGACTTAAATATGCTTTTAAGTTATCATAAATGGAAAAAGAAGGGTGTGGGGGCTGACCAAGCGGGCTTGATGTTTTTGATGTCTGTAGTTTTCTTTTCTTTTTAGGATTATAACTGCTCAAATTAAACTTATTTGAAAAAAAGAAGAAAAGAAGATAAGGATAAAAGCAGATGCCAGTCTGCATGGCCCATGTATGTCTACCTGAACCTTAAGATCACCCACTGAGGTCCTTCTCTGGGAGCCACCTTTAAAAGGTGTAAGGAGGGTGGTCACTAGGAGAAGGGTCTTCTCGGTGGCTGTACCTCAAGCGAGGAACCAGCCCCCCAGAGAGGGACGCCTCCTGCTGAGCCTTTATGCTTTTGGGCAGCACGCTAAACCGTTCTATTTGCCCAGCATTTTAACTGCTACGTAAGCGGATTTTTGCAATTTTATACTTTACCTGTTGTTTGATTGCTGTGGATTGCCGGCTGTTTGCTGTTTATGCAATTATGCATTGCATTCTGGCTTAGGGCTGGTGCCTTATGGTTTCTATTATATCGTGGATATTATGTTGAACAGTTTTATATTGGGTTTTTGTTAAACTCTTAATGTAAACCATTTGGAGAGCCAGTTGGCTGGTGCCAGTGGTGCACAAAGGTTCAAATAAATAAATAAATAAGCAAGCAAGCTAATCTGTAGGCATAATCACAAATTCAGAAATAATTATTCCGATTTAGACCTCTCTCTCTCTCTCTCTCTCTCTCTCTCTCTCTTGATCCTGCCTTCCTTCCAACATTTATATACCACTCCATATTCCTGTATGGAGATTTTGGAGCAGTACAACATAAAAAAGAATAAACAAAGCATTAAAAACAGGATTTGTAAAATTGTATAGGTACAACTGTGGTGGTTAGATCCAGAAAGGCTTCCTGAAATTAATGTCTTTTCAGGGGGCACCGGAAGCAGCCGTGTGGCTGGGCACCAGACCTCCAGAGGCAGAGAGCTCCACAGAAAGGGGCCACCACACTGAAGTCTCTTCTCCGACTGGACTCCACTGAGGCCACATGGAACCACCAGGAGATGCCTTCTGAGGACTTCTGTGACCAGGCAGGTGAGTTGGGAGAAGGTTGTATCTGAACAGGCTGCTACCCTCCCCTCCTGCATCCCTTTATCTTTAAACTGGGGCTGGACTGAATGGCCCCTTGAATAGAGGAGATCTTCAGAGAGAGGACTGTCCGCTGTGAAGTAGGACACTTGGCCACCCTGCAAAGGATGACCAGCAGGCAGATCCTTGTAGCACCTGGTGGACATAGGACAGGAGTGGGGAGCACGGGTCCGGCTGGCATCTGTATGCCCCTGATTTCCTTGGGGGATGCACCAAGACCCCAATTCCTGCTCCCAATTTTTGCATTAGAAGCATTTTTGGATCTTCTGGCAGAGACCGAAGAAGCAAGTGGGAGCCATTACCTGCCGCAATCTTAATTTCATTGAAATCCTCTGAGCAGGTTGCCGGTCCTTGGCCGTGCTCACCTGCACAGTGAAAGCCAGTGTAATGTTGTGGTTAACATCCACATCCATGGAGCTCACTGGGGGACTTGGGGCCAGTCAAAGACTCCCAGCCTGGCCTACCTCACAGGGTTCTTGTTGTGAGGGGAATTATGTGAGCTGCCTTGAATGCCAAGGAAGGGCGAAGAGACCATGGTTCCCAATGCAGCACCCAAAAAGCCCGCAGGCAGTGTGTGGGAGAATGACCAGCTTCAGGCAACGTAACTCGCCACACCCAAGGCTTGTATATGGGTTAAGTATGATTTGCTGTTGAACCACGGGTTGCTGCTGCTCTGTAGGTTATGGCAGACATGTAGGCTGTCTGAACCCAACTACATTAACCTGCCATGGGCTGTTAACCACAAACACCTCTGCCAGGGCTTTGCTTTTCTGTCCCAGGGTGTGAAGGGTGCTGGGGTGCTTTGCAGATACCCTGGACTGACAGAAAGGGAAACCAAGGGGTCCTAGATCAGGTCAAACTACAAGCAAGAATGACAGAACTGAGGCTGTCGTACTTTGGACGCACATGAGAAGGCAAGATTCCCTGGAGACGACCGTCATGCTAGGAAATGTTGATGGCAGAGGAAAAAGGGGAAGGAGAGATGGGTTTTCTCCATAAAGGAAGCCACAGACTTGAATTCAGAACAGCTGATCAAGGATGGATAGGAAATGGGGGGGGGGGGCTTTCATTCGTAAGATTGCCATATGATGGAGAGGACTTGATGGGCACATAATCACATGGAGTGAGAACCACAACTGTGCTTCTTGGCATTAAGAGCTAAAAGATCAACCCATTTAACGGCTTCTGACAGATTACTCAGCACCAGCAAGTCAGCTAGAAGTACAGTGCCCCGAGGAATATCACAAATGCACAGAAATACTGGTGTGAAGAAGCAAATTCAAGCTTTCACTGTGGAAAAATAGAAAGACACTTGCAAGAGCCCAATTTTCATATTAAAGATCATGTTTCGAGTCACTGCTGAAACCGGCTGTGCGATTGTTTTTTGTCTCCCACTGATCTGAAAGTCAAAAGGGTGTTGTTTTTGTTTTAACAAGCGAGATGTAGGATTATGGAGTTTTTTGGTTCTCCTCTTTTATTTCCCCTGAAACCATCATAGTAGTTGGCAGAAATGCGTGTGATGATCGACAACCTGTTTGCATGTTCCCCCTTAAGACTGTCGCTTTATGGCAGGCAATGAGCTCTTTTCACCTGCGGCCGGTATTCCATTTTGGAGATGCTTTTGGGTACCACGTGCCAATGGCAGGCAAAGCGGAAAGCAGGTGGGGGGTGAAAAAAGACAGAGGGCGGGCTCAGAAGATCCAATATTTCAGTGTGAAATTCTTATTGCCTGTTAACTAATCCTTAGCAGAGGCATTTTGACCTTTTAAGACGGGGCAGGGACTGCTCAAAAGTCACCAAAGTACCAAACGGCTGGTAGTTGGGAGAAACGGAGGTGGGGTCAGGACAAAGGCCATGAGACTTCGAGGTTCTGCACCCACTCTCTGGCTCCAGTCACTCTGCTTTGAGCGCCTCCGAGCTGAGCTGGAGGACGCTTTCTGGAGAACCCCTTTCTGTACACCGTCTTGTTTCACTTGGCCTAATCAAGGCAATGTGTATTTTGGCATTTTCTGATGGCCAATGTGGCAACCTCTGCTTTTTGCATTTGATCTACTACTTCCAGGGATGGCTCTAAGTTTGGGACGAAGGGGCAGGAAATGTTCGTCTTTTTTCCAGCTGCTTTTGCAAAGAAATCCCCGGACACCCAGGCGCATTGCTCCAGGGCATGCCCAGCAGCTACACAGGATGGTCCCGGCAGAATAAGGAACGCCTGCTCTGCCCTTGGTCCCCCCAGTCTCCGTGAGCAGCAGCTGCCACTGCGAGATGCAAGCAACCCTGCCTTGATTCTGCCACTCTCAAGATGGCGGCTATCGCAGTTCCACGGGGTGCTCCCCAAAAATGCTTCCCTCCAAGCATCCATTCCCAGAACACTTTGGTTCTCCCTGTCCTAACAAAGGCAGCAGCTATGAGGTGGTGGAAAAGCCCAGACGGGGCCCAGGGTGCACCTGCCGCTGCTAGGATCGATTCTGGAGCTGGAAGGGATGGCATTCCAGAAAGCGGCCAAATCCCTGGTGGCCGGCCTGCCACGAGCACCGATCAATCACCAGCTTCTCTTTGTACTGACCTGGAACGGCACATCTAGGGGAAATGATCTGACCTCTGCTCGCTCGCGTACCAAACGGCTGCAGCCAAGTACCGCCGGCTGACACGCCATCAGTCATTTCCCGACGGATGCAGGAGCTCAGGGGCTCTGCCTGGTGCCCAGAAGCGGCTTCGCCACAAGGGCAGAACCGCAGCTTATCCTTTGGCATCACCATTTTGGCAATGGACTGGGAAGGACTAACCGATCCCACGCGCTCCATCCGGGCACCAAGGCCCTGCTTTTGGTTGGTGGTTCGCAGCCCCCCTTTGTCTTTAGCTAGGATTGCCCTACATTTTGAAGTTGCTTTTCCTTGTGCATTGAACTTTCCTGAGATTTCATTTTAATGAATAAAAGAAACCCCCTCCTTCCT